CTAGTCCAGAGAATCATGGACGACTAGAACTATTGCCCAGTCTGGCTGGGTTCTTCCTTAATTTTAAGATGTAGAATCTGAGTTAGAGGAAGGATGTGTGATTCACCAAAGTGAGTGTCTTAGGGCAAAGGCTGGGACTGAAAGTAGGTCTCCTGATGTCAGTGCCCAATACTCACTGCCCAGATCCCCAAGAGCCCTTCTGAATCAGCAGAGCTGCTCAGATGTGATGGTTGGATAACTTTCTAGATGTATTTTATCACTGAATAACAGATGGCTGCTTTGCATTTGACTTTTCCCACTTCAGATAATTCCTCACTGCCTTATGCAATCCATTTGAGAACATGTGTGCATGTGTGTGTGTGTGTGTGTGTGTGTGTGTGTGTGTGTGTGCATCTGTGCCTGTGTCTGTTTTCTGTTGTTATTCTTACCAGTGATCCTTGCTAGGCAGTGTTTCTCCTAAACTAAGTACAATTACCATCTGGTGATTCAAAGATAGCAATGGAATTTCCGACAAAAACTTCGTATCTACGCCAGGTGGACTGGAAAATTCTCAGGACCTGGAAGAGAAGTCTTTGGATCATGATGTCTAATACTTTCTGCTGCAGATGAGGAAAACAAGAGAACATTTGCTGGGTGTCTTGTGGTAGCCTAGGGAGCCAGGAAGAGCCCCTTGTACATACAGAATATGCATGGATATGTCCGTGTGGCACATTCTTGCAGCAGAAACTAGGAAGCATCAGGACACAAGAGACTGGCAAAGTGGCAGACACACAGCCCTGCCACCATCCATGAATGGGTCTTCCATTACGCCTCCCCTTGGTGCCCTATGCTAACGTGGCTCCCCACACAAAGGAGGCTCTCTCCATCAATATGTGTCTTAGTCACTGTTCTATTGCTGTGAAGAGACACCGTGACCAAGACAACTTCTATAAAAAAAAGTATTTAACTGGGGACTTGCTTACAGTTTCAGTGGTTTGGTCCATTACCATCATGGCAGTAGATGAAAGCTACATCAGGATGCACAGGCAGAGAGAGAGAAACTTGGCCTGGCATGAGCTTTAGAAACCTCAAAGCCCAGCCCCAAGAGACATGCCTCTTCCAACAAGCCCTCACCTCCTAATCCTTGTAATCCTTTCAAACAGTTCCACTCTCTGGTGACCAAGCATTCAAATATGTGAGCCTATGGGGGCCGTTCTCATCCACACTTCCACAGTATAATAGTGCCATAACCAGCCTCTTGCTTCAGTCAAGTCTACAGAACAGTCCTGTGGCTTCCAGCTCCTGGGAGATACTTTCTCATCACCCTCAGCTGCGTGTGTCTGCACCATTTCTGACTGAACATGGCTTATCCAGGATGCTTGTATGGCCAGAGGGAATTTCATAATGGGAAGCCAATGTGAAGGTCTCCTGCCAGAAGTGACATGGCACAGGACCTCAGTCTTCTCTATTTATAGTGTGTATCAGTGTTAGGTTGTCTCAGGAAAGAGCTCCGAACATGCCAGGCCCAGACCAGCGGAGCTGGATGAAGATGAGAATAGACCAGGGCTCTGAGGGTACAGATGGTGAGGGTGCCAGGGTGCCAGTCTGTGTGTGGCAGTTTTCTTTGTATTCCTAATAGACCGACAGTTTTCTCTTTTTTTCCACTAAACCTTCCCTGGGAGAAATGGGGACAGGGAGAGTGGCAGATGGAGCTGGGTTTCTTATCCTGGGGTCTGTGGATGTGCTTCCAAAAAGAGTCGGTTCTGAAGCCCCTGGAATCTGTTACAAAATTGGGTGAGTTTTGTGTCTTCAGAACAGAGGATCTTTATTCTCAAAGGAGTCCATGACCCAAACATGGCAAGGACAACCATGGTGAGGATCGAGTCCAGCTTCACATTCTGTGGAGGAATTGGTTTTTCATCTCATTTTGAAAGCGACAGCTGCCACAGCTGTCATTTTCTCTTACCAACCTTCTTGCTCATGCCTGATGTTGTTTTAAAGAAATGTGCTCCCTTAGAGAGCAAGTTCCTAAGAAAAGCCTAACTTCTTTAACGATGAGTATGTGTCCAGGTCACAAACGGAGGTGTGTGGAAGACAGACATTTGACTTTTCCAGAGTTCAAGGCCATTTCTACTGTGAGCTACTGTTCTATGTATTATATTCGTGTGTATTCATGCAGTAGACTTAATCTCAGTATTGGTTCAAAATTAGGGACGCTCCTGTCTTTTCTTCTCCTCCTCTATCTATCTGTCTATTATCTATCTATCTATCTATCTATCTATCTATCTATCTATCATCTATCTATCTCTCTGAATAGGGCCTCATGTAACCCAGGCTGGCCTGAACTATCCATATAACTGAGGATGACCTTGAAATTCATGATCCTGCTGTTTCCATCTCACCAGTGTTGGGATTCTAGGCACGGGATGTCATGCAGGTTTTTTTTTTTATTTTATTTTATAATTTAATTTAATTTTACATATCAGCCACAGATTCCCTTGTTCTCCCCACCACCACCCCCGCCCCACCTTCCCCCCACCCCACCCCACCCCATTCCCATCTCCTCCATGGCAAAGACTGCCCTGAGGATTGAGTTCAACTTGGTAGATTCAGTCCAGGCAGGTCCAGTCCCCTCCTCCCAGGCTGAGCCAAGTGTCCCTGTATAAGCCCCAGGTTTCAAACAGCCAGCACATGCACTGAGGACAAGTCCCGGTCCCACTGCCTGGATGCCTCCCAAACAGATCAAGCCAATCAACTGTCTCACTTATCCAGAGGGCCTGATCCAGTTGGGGGCTCCTCAGCTATTGGTTCATAGTTCATGTGTTTCCATTTGTTTGGCTATTTGTCCCTGTGCTTTTTTATGCAGTTTTATGCAGTGTTGAGGACTGACCTTCAGCCATCCCTGTATGCCGGCAAGTACTCTATCAACTAAGCTACTCTTCCAGCTGATGTTAGGGACTTTCTGTCCTCAGATGATTGTGTCTGAGTTCTGAGACACATACTTAGGACTGATGCACCTGTTGTGGATCAAGGAGATGGATATAGGTGGCGATATCCAGAGAGCCACCCTTCATCTTGCTGGATCTTTGGCTCTGGGACCATATTACCATTAAACCGTCTGCTTCTTATCCTGTCCTGGGCACCGACTGTGCTCCTGATGAGCCTCAGGAGCCACACATGGTTCCATCTGTCCAAGCTGAGGCTTCACAGTGTGGCTTCCCTGCCCACAAGTTTTGATCTAGAAAAAGGAATGCAGGCAAATTAGTCTCTCTGAGGTCCAAGTTGACAAATTTTCCAGTGTATTTTCTTAAGTGTAAATTTTCACTTTGTGCAAACCTTTTTGACTTGAAATGTCAATATTCAATTCTTGTTGGAGAAGACACAGACACAGACAGACACAGACACACACACACACACACACACACACACACACACACACACACACACACACACTGTAGATCAATCAAAACATGTCCATGACTCAGTTCTGCCCCAAAAGGCCACCAGTTTTTAAGCCCCCGCTCTGACAGCTTAAACTTAGGAAGCCAAAGCAGGGAAAATCCCCTTTCTCCTGCTTCCAGACGCATCCGACCTCTCCCTGGGTGAGAAGCACAAAGGTGTCTACTTACCTGAGCAGGAGAAATGGGCATGGGAGACAAGTGGGGATAGAATGTGAGCCAATATTTCTAAAGTATCCTTCCGTGCCTAGAAGTAAGTTTCTAAGAACAAGTTCTATCTTTTAAAATAATCTGCTTTTATATCCAGATAAGAACATAGCATATTTTCAATAAGGCAAATGTGCTCACCAAATGCTCAGTGGAATTCTAGAGCTTTCCATGAGATCTCTTTCAGAATTGTTTAATCCAATTCCTGAGACCAAACTAAATAAGCAAGAGAACCAAAGTCCTGGGAGATAAGTATTGTGGGACCTAACCAGTTCCACTGGCCACACTTAACAGTTCTCAGCCTTTTCTGCCTTGTGTTCCCTTCTAGGTACAAGGAGGCCAGGGAAGTGTGCCGCTCAGGGTGTGAACAGGGGAGTCAGTGGGGTGTAGTACTGAAAGTCAAGCTGGAAAAACTCCAGGGCTCTTGTCTCAGAAGAATCCTGTCAGAGAGGGCCAAAGACAACAGAGGAGAGCAGCCCTTGGGTACACAGGTCAGAAATCAAAACAAGTCAAGGCTTGTTTAGGACTCAGTGCCCACATAAGAAGCTGGGCTGTCTGCAGGGAGCCTGAGGCCTTGGAGGGTACAGCCAAGACTACCAGGACATCCTGTGTGTTGTCTGAGACTCTCAAAATATAACTGAAGGCACGCTGCTAAGAGGCATAGTTGCAATAAAGAATGGAACATGGGAGACAACATCAATGGATCTATTTTTGTATTTATATGTATATATCTATATAGTATTTATATGCATGTATATACATGGAAGTCTGTACAAAAATACAGACAGGGGCTGTGGGATGCTCAGAAGTAAAGGAGCTAGATGCCCACACCTGGCAACCTTAGTTCATTCCTAGACCCATGGAAAGGTGGGAAGAGAGATCCAGCTCCCCAAGGCTGTCCTCTGAGCTCCACATGAGGGCTTTGGCATGCACAGTTACCCCCCCCCCCTCTCTCTCACACACACACACACACACACACACACACACACACACACACACATTATGCACATATATATTTACACAATAATAAAGTTAAAATAAAAGTTTAAAAATATAGGAGAATAAGGTAAACACTAAAACACTATACTTTTTTTCCAGCTGGCTAAATTCAGATCAATACAGCGTTGTTTTTGTTTTTGTTTTTTCATTCATGGGTTTACAGTGATTCTATTGTCGCTTCCCTGTAGCACCAGGCTGTAGCATGGCATGCAGAGGCAGTTCCTTAGACCTTGATCTTGGCCACTTAGATTTCTAGTCTTCCAGCCCCTGTCCCTGCCTTCAGATCTTAGAATCAGAGCTGGGAGAGGAAAGGACGATCCTGAAGGAGATGTCGCAATAGGCTGCCTTCCTCCACAGCTTCAGGCAGCTGATGTCATGGAGCTGGCACCAGGATCACCCCAGTGTCTGGGGACGTGGATGCTCTATCCTGCCCATGCTCAAGTGTGGAGCCAGCACTGGACATTTTGATGTCGCCATTCTGACTTCGCTATTGTGACCCAGCTACTTGGAAGCCACAAATATCTTGCTGTGCTTTGGAAGGTAATTAAATTTTTACCTTAAGAAAAACTTAATAGTGCAAAAATTAACATCGTCACCCTATCTGTGAGCCCTGCCACAGAGGTGCCATGAGGGGTTTAGGGGCCCAAGGCACACACCCAGAGGTTGGCAATAAGCCAGGAGGCTAACGGGCTTCGGGCTGAAATGCTAAAATTAAATTCAGATGCATTAGAATATGGTTCCTATTAGCTCCAGATTCCACAGGCAACTAGTTATGTAACCAGAAAAACACAAATTCACCTGCTCTTTCTTGGGAGAGAGAGCACTGTGGAGCTGAAAGGAACAGAGAGAAAGGAGGGGAAGAGGAGGAGGGGGGGGAGGGAAGGAAGGAGTGAGGGAGGGAGGATGGGAAGGAGGGAGGGAGGGAGGAGAAAACGGGAGGGGACAGGTACTACCTAAAGGAAGAACGTGTTCCGGGATTGTGACTGAAAAGTATAGCCGTGCGCACTTTGTGCCTTAGGCATGATGCCAGCGCAGACACACCTTCTCGGCACATAGCAAACACGTGGGAAAGAACCACGCCTTCCTCCTCGTGTCCTCCGGCACATCTGGCAGTGATGGAGCAGGAAGGAAATGGTCCCACTGTGTCTCCCCCTCAAACTCTTTCAGCACCCCAGCGATTGGTCTTCCTCTCTGGCCTTCCCTTCCAACCAGAGCCCTTTGTCGTGTAGACTAACCAGGCTCTTCCGGTCTCTGTACTTTTCTTCCCACTCTGTCTGTTTCTCAGGTGCTGCTGAGCAAAGGAAATCCCGGGAGCCAATCTAGAAAACCCGATCCATCTTCCTAGGAGAAGAAGCCGGGGGACCTGGGATTCTGGTATCTAAATATTGGGCCAACTGCTGCACATTTAATAATTTTTTACCATGTTATATTTTTAATATAAGCTTGAGTAGTGTTGTGATTTACTAATAAAAGATACGCAGCCATTAAGTAAACGTTAAATCAATATTTAGCATGTGCATTTGCCTAAGCACCACATTGTTAGCCTCCGAGTGCAGCTGCAGGTGCCGGAGGTCTCAGGGAGACCCACTTTGCTGATCAAGAGTGATACGTGCTGGTGAAGGAGACCAGAAAGAACCGTGTGAAAGATGATGACTGAGAAAAGTTGCGGGAAATTCACTAAAATCTTTAGAGTTCTGGAAAGTTCATGGCTCGGGCTGGGAGGACTAGGTAGGCACTGGGAGTCAGGAGTCAGCCCAGCGCCTGCCCTAGGGAGAGGTTAAATTGCCCCTCCTCCTCACTCCTGTAAGCATTACCCTCAAGGTTCCTCCTTTTTCTTCCCCTCTGCAGAATGTATATTATGGATTTAATATCCATCCAAGGCTCAAGGCGAAACCTTAATAGGAGCCTAGACCCTCCTTATCTCGTAGGCCCAGGGTCTATTAGAAAGAAGCTGATAGTGTGGGTTGAGAGCCAGAAGGGTGGTATAATTCTGTTTCGGTTTGCATCTGAAATAGCCCCCACAGGCTCATGGTTTCATATTTGGTTCCCAGTGCTGCATCTATTTTGGGAGGTTCTGGAAACATTAAGAGGTGAGGCCTCGCTAGAGGGAGCAGGTCAGAGAAGAAGGTCCTGACGGGTCCTTATCCTTGGCTGCGGCCTTTCCCACTCCACTTCTTGCCTGCCGCATGAGCAGTGGTCCTCTGCCACACCCTCCTGCTGCTGTGATGTTCTTCTCCAGGGCTCAGGGTCTGAAACTGAGCCCGGATGAACCTTTCCTTCCTCAAGCTGACAGGAATTTTGGTCACAACTACTCAGAAGTAATACAATTAAAAAAAAAAAAATTAAGTGTAGTTTTGGCCATTCAAACTTCTAACCTGATGGAAAGCAGGAAGACTCGGAGTTGTGAGTTTCCATGGTTCCGTCTGGGCAGTATTTAGTGCGGCCTCCCAAAGCTTACCCGTAAAGTGCTAGGAAAAGATACAAAAGAGGTATTATAAAAATCAAGAGGCTAGCGGCCGTGGTTGAGTGGGAATCCACACTGGAGGGAATTTCTGCTAATAGATTCCCTGGTGAGGGAACTGGAGACAGGAGGAAACTAGAGCAACAGGAGATTCGATCCCCTCTTCCGGCGCTGCTCACACCAGGCAGGAATGTGCTACACATGCATACAAGCAAAACCTCACACACACAAAATAGAAATATTAGAAAAGAAATGAAAGTCCAGGGTTTTTACAGACATCTGCCGAATAGTCTTTAATGTCACAAAAATAAAAGGTCCAGCTAGCTACAAAACGAGCTCAGGTTGCAGTTCCTGGCAGACATTTTTATTACCTTCCTGATAGCTAGCCTACTACCATTGTAGGATCCAATACATTGTCGTCTACCATTTCCGGGTGGTAATGAACCTAATTTGAGAAAGAAAGAAGACAGTCAGTCACCCTTGCAGACACCTTGGCCTTTGGCTTTGTGACACTAAGAGAACTAGATGTCCTCAGGAAGACTGTCTTGAAAATCTGTGTAAAGGGGCCGTCTCCTATGCCTGAATTCCTTCTGTCTGGAATGCAGATGTCATAGGCATCATGATGTTTCTTCCTCATCAGTGGTTAAGGTGTTGTGATTTTTGTTGTTTGCTTGTTTGGGGGCATCGCGAGGCAGATGAAACTAAGAAACAAGGAACAGGAAATTATGTAATTTTGGAGCTTGTTAACAATCTTTCTGACACTCTCCCTCAGTCATAGACATGGCTAGGGACACTCTCTCACTTTCATTGAAAGCACAAGAAGGGGCTGATAGCTTTTTAAAACAAAGCAAAGCAAGAAACAAAACCAAGAAGCAAACAGGATCTCACCCTGTAGCCCAGGCTGCCTTTCACAAGCCTCCTGCTTGGGTCTCCTTGGTGGTAGGGTTACAGGTGTGCACTTGGCTCCTGGTTAACTTTTCAAAGAACTCAAATGTGTGTGTTGTTTACGCTACTTTACAAGTCAGGGACAGCAGGAGCAGCAGGAGGGACTTGGAAGCTGTAAAATAAGTAAATACGGGGGTCTGGTCTGTGAGAGGGAAAAAGCCCCATAAGGAAAGACTAGAGACACGAACGAGTAAAATGTAGTGGCTGGGGTGATAAAGAACACTGGTTAATCCAAGGTGCCAGAGGCAGAGTGAAAATCTGCACCTGAAGCTCTAGAGAGGATCGGCACTAGAAAATTAAATATGTAACGTGGTCAACATTTGTCTTAAGCAACCTTAGGACATTGTGAAGGAAAAAGGCTAAGAGATGAAAAAAGTAAAGATAAAATACGATAGTTGTGAAGTACTGAAACCAGAGGGAAGAGAAATAAAAACACGCAAATACAAACAGAAACAGACATTATAATAATAAATTTTCTTGACCTAAAAATGGTTTCTGCATAGTGAAGTGGTTTGCCAGAGTGCAAAAATGACCAAAGGTAGAGAAGTTAATTTTAGTTATATTTTATCCACACCGGGTACTCCCGTTTATGAGTTTAAACTATTATTTACAAAATACCTTTACTGCATACCAGAAGTATGTATAGTAAAATAGTAAGTGAAGAAGGCAGAAAACGAGATCACTTATGTAGTATGGAGTTTAGCAGAGTACTGACATCACAATAAATAATCTCGCAGATCTTAGGGACCACCGTGATAAAATCATCCTTCTCCTTCACAGCGCGCTCCAGCGTGCTCGGTGAGTGGCTTTGCAGCAGTCCCTCCTCTACCTGGTGCCCTGATGGCTACTCAGTCCTCTCCACGCAACTGATGGCGGAAGGACCGATGTGAGAAAGACACATTTACTTCACTACAGTCGTGTACCACAGAGTGACATCTCAGTCAGCAGTGGTGATCCCATAAGAACATAAGAGAGCCGGGCAGTGGTGGCGCACGCCTTTAATCCCAGCACTCGGGAGGCAGAGCCAGGCGGATCTCTGTGAGTTCGAGGCCAGCCTGGACTACCAAGTGAGTTCCAGGAAAGGCGCAAAGCTACACAGAGACCCTGTCTCGAAAAACCAAAAAAAAAAAAAAAAGAACATAAGAGAGTTTAAAATTCCTGTGAGCTGATGATGTCATAGCCTCAATAATAGCGTAACAAATTGCTCATGTTTTGATGAGACTGGTGAGCCTTGTGTCTTGGGAAAGTCTTATGAAAGTGTTGCACATGTAACTGTGTACAGTACACGCACGCGGTGATGATAGCAAAGCAGTGGTTCTCAACCTAATGCTGCGACCCTTTAATACAGTTCCTCATGCTGTGGTGACATCCAGCCATGAAGTTGTTTCATTGCTACTTTGTAACTGTAATTTTGCTACTGTTATGAATCATAAGTATCTGTGTTTTCTGATGGTCTTAGGCAACCCCTGTGACAGGGTCACTCAACCCCAAAGGGGTCATGATGTGTTGAACCACTGTAGTAAATGAATTTGCTATCCCAGAGACAGAGAATATTTTGTGTCCCAGTTTCATTATTGTTACTGTCTTAGTTTGGGTTTTTATTGCTGTAAAGAGACACCATGTGTAGCTAGAGTTTTCCTGCCTGGCCCACAGTCAGGACAAATCTCTCTCACCTGCCAGTCCCACAGCCGTTCAGACCCGACCAAGTAAACACAGAGACTTATATTGCTTACAAACTGTATGGCCGTGGCAGGCTTCTTGCTAACTGTTCTTACAGCTTAAATTAATCCATTTCTATTAATCTATACCTTGCTACATGGCTCGTGGCTTACCGGCATCTTCACATGCTGTTTCTCATCGTGGCAGCTGGCAGTGTCTCTCTGACTCAGCCTTCCACTTCCCAGCTTTATTCTCCTCCTTGTCCCGCCTATACTTCCTGCCTGGCCACTGGCCAATCAGTGATTTATTTATTGACCAATCAGCAACACATTTGCCATACAGAACATCCCACAGCAACCATGACCACAGCAACTCTTATAAAGAAAACATTTCATTGGAGTGGCTCGCTTACAGTTTCAGAGGTTCAGAGCATGGCTGTGTGCAGGCAGTCATGGTGCTGGAGCTGAGAGTGCTACACCTTGCAGGCAACAGGAAGTCCACTGACCGTCACACTGAGGGAAGCTTGAACAAGAGACTTCAAGTCTACCACTCACAGTGACACACTTCCTCCAACAAGGCTACACCTTTGGAGGCCATTTTCTTTCAAACCATCACAGTTACTGTAATAAAGAATCATGAAAAAAAGCAACATGGGAGAGGAAAGAGTTCACCTTAGTTTACATTTCCAGGTTACAACCCATCATTTCAGAGGGAGTCAAGGCAGGAACTTAAGCAGCTCGTCAGATCACATCCACAGAAACAAATGTAGCCATGCTGCCTCCTTATTTGTTGAATAACTTTCTTCCTTTATACAGTTTGGGATCCAGCCTAGGGAATAGTGTCACCCACAATGGGCTGGGCTTTTCTATACCGATTAACAATCAAGACAATCACCTTCAGAAATGTCCACAGCCTAATCTACAAAGCACCTCAGTTGACTTCATTCTCAGGTAATTCTAAATTATCAAGTTGACAGTTAAAACTAACCTGCATACCATGTTATGGTGGTAATATCTTCATCCAGCTTGTGTTTACTATCTATCTATCTGTCTATCTATCTATCTATCTATCTATCTATCTATCTATCTATCTATTTACCTACCTACCTACCTATCTCTATCTCTCTAAAATCATGAGGTCATATGGAGTGATAATGTAAGAACATTTTATTAAGTTAACACAATGACATAAGTCCCTCCACAATGCATTTCTCTGAACATGACCTCATAATTAAGTGACATACAGCTATAGTTAGGCCTGGAAGTGACTTCATTACTTCTACTCACATCAGACTGGTAAGAAGGAAGCCACACAGACATACTGTACTCATGAGTGGCTGCAGTACGGGCCCAGGAAGAAAATGAAATCACTTTATGAAAGTCATTGTCCATATGGAAAATCTCCAACTATGGAAAAATTCATAGACATAGGTGGGGAGAAAAAAATTTTAAAACATCCACTCTGGGCAACAAAATTCAAGATACATTTAATCTGCTCCTGTATTTTTCCAAAATTTAGCAGTGTTTGTTACTTACATGAGTGGTTTTCTCAGTGTACACTGGCATCATGGTAGCATTTCACTGCTGAGGTGTTCGTTAGGATGAAATCAAATCATGGATATAAAGAATATAGCACAGACCTGGATCCTAGTTATATGTTATATTTTTATTATCAGTTTTGCTGAGAGCATGATTCCCATCTGAATCTTTCTTCTGACCCAAAAGTCAAATAAACTAGTGTGCCTCATAGATCATAGCCCACACCATGTTTCCTAATGATGCAAAGATATAGATAGACAAACCCCAAACACAGTCAAAATATTCTGTTCCCGGAGGAGCCAAGGCCCCAGGAAGCCAGTAATAATTTGAAAAACTTCCCCACCTTTCTAAACCCATTGAATTTTTAATTTTGATTTTGAATTATCACGTAAATGTTTGAACAATGCCTGTGGAAATCTTATTCCCAAAGAGAATGGAAGCGCTTTCATTCATACTCCAGTGATGCTTTCATTCATATCCCAGTGACACTTCTATTCATACTCCAGTGATTATACAGAGTCAGGAAAACATTGACATGGTCAGCTATGCTGCTCTATTTTTCTAATTAACTTTTTTACTCTTGTCATTTTTACCTTCCTCTTCCTCTCTCTCATTCTAACTCTCTCTCTCCTCACTTCTTCTTCCAAGAAAGTCCTCCTTTTACTTCTATGATGTGTGTGTGTGAGAGAGAGAGAGAGACAGAGACAGCGAGACAGAGAGACAGAACTAGGGAGACAGAGAAAGACAGAGACAGAGAGACTCACTGAATTTAATTGAGGTTGTTTGCATGAGCACAGGTGGACAGATTGGGAGTTATTTACTAGAGCATAGACATGTCACCAGGGACTATACCACCTAAGAAAATGACCCCCTCTGCTGTGGATGCCTTTCTGTATGCTATGAATATGTGTTGCTCTGATTGGTTGGTAAATAAAATGCTGATTGACCAGTAGCCAGGCAGGAAGTATAGGCAGGATAAGCAGAGAGGAAAATTCTGGGGAGAGGAAGACTGGGTGAGGAGATGCCAGCCCACTGTCCAGGGAGCAGCATGTAATGGCACACACGTAAAGCCACGGAATACGTGACAACATATAGATTAACAGAAATGGGCTGAGTTTAAGTGTAAGAGCTAGGTAAGTGCAAGTGTAAAGTAGGCCTGAGCTAATGGCCGAGCAGTTTTAATTAATATAAGCCTGTGTGTGTTTATTTGGGTCCGAGTGGCTGTGGGACTGGCAGGTGAGAGAGATTTGTCCTGACCTTGGACTAGGTGGGACACAGGAAAACTTTCAGCTACACCCCTCCTTAGGAAACCATTATTACTTCTAGTTCCTCAAGAAGGGATGGGGCCTTGTGAGCCCCTCCCCATCTTGTGCAGGTAGCCCATGCTGCTCTGAATTAGCAAGTGTAACAAGCATTCTATATCCGGAAGGCAGTGTTTCTCAGCACTCCTCTCCATCCTCCGGCTCTCACATTCTTTCTGCCCCTTCTTCTGCAATGTTCCCTGAGCCCTTAGGGCTGTGATACGGATGTCCCACTTAGAGCCAAGCTCAAGGGTCCTTATATTTCTCAGCAAACACTTAACTCACAGAGGCATAGCCCCATCCCCCTCGGCATGCTTCCTCAATCTGCATCTTCCAGCTCTTTTTTACATCTTGATCGTGTACTTCACAGGTTACAAAACTGTGAGGAATAAATGTTTGTAGGTTTAGTCACCCAGTCAGTGGTAAGCTGGTAAAGTAGTCCAGCCACTTAAGACTCTCTTGAAACTGCTGTGAGGCAACATAGCACAAAGCTTGTGAATTCTAGAGCAGGCAAAGCTGGACTCATCGGGCTCTACCCTTCACTAGCTCTGTCCCCTTTAACAAATTGATTTACCTTTTGTTCTCTAATTTTTTTCATCTGTAATGTAAAACCAATAACATCTACTTCCTCAGACAATGAACTTTCAGGGAAAGAATGCATATGAAGCACTTAATATTTGTCTTGTAAATGGTAAGTATTCTGTGAATATAAACTTGTAATGATGATGGCAGTAATTGTTAGCACTAATCTAGGGAGGAGAGCTTTGAAGAGAATGAAACAACAAACAGTGATGTAAGTCAATTGGTAAAAACTAAAAGGTACTTAGTACACTTAGCAACTGGCAGGCCATTGTTGCTACCAACGGATGGAGGTGTGGCTGCAGCTGAGCTGCAGTGGAGTGTGGATGGGGCTGAAAGGTAGGAGAAGGTAAAGATGTTGGTTTGGGAGCACAAACTCTGAAGGAGACACAATTAAGCACGATCTACTTACTTAGTTACCTTTTTTATTGCTGTGATAAAGCACCAGGACTAAGACAACTTATAAAAGAAAGTGTTTATTAGGGACTTACAGTTTCAGAGGGTTAGAATCTATGACCATCATGATGGGAAGCATGGCAGCAGGCAAGCATGGTGTTGGAGGAGTAGCTAAGAGCTCACATCTTGAGACACAGTCATGAGGCAGAGAGAGCACACTGGGAATGATATGGGTTTTTGAAACCTCAAAGCCCATCCCCAGTGACACACCTCCTCCAGCAAGGCCACACCTCCTAATCCTTCCCAAACAGTTCCACAAACTGGGGACCAAGTATTCAAATACATGAGTCTGTAGGGACCATTCTCATTCAGACCACACTACCATTTGACCTTGACTCCTCTGTGCGATGGGCAGTCATCACAAGCACAGAGTAACAGCAGTGTCCCAAATCTTACCAGGAGACTATCTTTTACCTCTCTGGGTTGGCACACTCTTACCCCTTTCTTACCCTCCTCCCCCAAAACAGTAAAACTCAAACTTTTAATTTTGGCTTCTCTGATGTTTGCGATATTTATAACTTCAAATATTTAGAAGTTTCCTGCATGTGTCACTAGCTGGTGCAATAAATACAAAGGGAAAAAGATGGA